AAAAAAAAAAAGGCACGTTTTGATCATGCCCATTTGGCCAGAAAAGACATACATCCAGCACCTAAAAGCAGTGAAATATGTGAACCCAACTGAAGCCTCACATTGCTCTGCATCCTTGGGTTCATAAAATCTGCTGCCAACAAATCCACGAGCGCCATGTAAATCAATATCCCGGCCGAGGCCGAATTGAAAATACCCTCGACTATAAGGGCTTTCGTGCTATTTTCTTCGTAAACGCTCGAAATCCCTATCCCCACACCAATACCCACTGGTGTGGTGAGGGAGAAGAATACCATCATTATTGTCCTCGTCACCGACTCGAATTTCGCCTGTCCTCGAAAAAAACAAATCAACCAATAAATTATTAAAAAATAAAAAATAAAGTAAATTGCAAAATCAAGAATCATGTTCTTGTCAATACTAAGTTAATAATAAATTAATCAAGTGACCAAAAAAGAAGGTGTGGGGACTGGGAATTGCATTCTCTTTAGATAAACAGAATATATTAGACATTATGACAACATTAACATACCTATGACTATGAGCACATTATGACAACATTTTAACATTAATTATTTCAAAAAATAAAAAATAAAAAATAAAAAAATTGTTGGTACCTGAGAAATACAGCCACCAAGTCCCATCCCTTCAAAAAACTGATGAAAAGACAGAGCAGCTAACAGAGGCTTTATTGTATCCAAACTCTGTGAAGCCCCTAATGATATCCCAATTATCACTGAGTGCACAACAATCCCAACCTCCAAAACCTTCTCAAAACAAAACATAATTAATAATATAATCGCTCGAATCGAAATCGCGAAAACTATATATATAATTTGATATAATCTTACTTGTGATATTATGCGCTGTCGGACAAGATCCGAGACGCCGACATCGTCATCATGAGACGACACGTGGGCATGGCCGTGCGTCGAATGCGTATGCACATGCACGTGGCCCGCGTGCTCCACGTCGTCGTCTCCACTTCTTACAATAGCCTCCTCATCGGCGACGTGATTCGCCCGCTTCCCTTTTTCGAAATGAACCCTTTTGTAGAAGCTCGTGGCGAAGGTGTCCACCATAAGGGTCCCTATGGCGGCAAGCATTGCGACAAAACCTACAAAGGGGAACTTCCCCCACGGGTTCTCGTCCAGGTTCGGCGAGCTGAGGCTCTCGAACGCGTCGGGAAGTATGTGGACGAAGCCCGTGCTGAGTATGACCCCGGCCGCAAAGGCCTTGATCATAAAGAACATGTTGTTTTCGGGTCGGAGGGCTGGGAGCTTCCGACCCAAGAAGGGGAGGCCCACGCCGAGGGCACCGGCGGCGAGGATCGAGGCAATGGCGACTAGCTTGAACTTAATGGTGGTGATCATTGTTGGGAGATGAGAAATTATGAGAAATTTGTGAAATTGCTTTGAGTTGGGAGAAGATCAAAATTGGAACAAAGTAAAAAGCTTAAGTAGAAAAGTGGTGGATGGATGAATGGATGTGTGTGTAGTATTGAGTGCTTATATTGATGTGTACATTTTTTATTTATTTATTTATTTTTTATTTTTTATTTGGGCTAATAAGCTATGTGTTTATTTAATTAGTTTGTATACAATTTTTTTAAGAGAAAAAAAAAATCTAATTATGTTTAACCAGTCACTATTTTTAACTCAAATCTAACTCAATTTATTTTTACGATGGCAACATAAAAATGTCATTTTGCATCATGAACCACACTAGCACTATTGAAAATTCTTGAAGGACAGTAAAATTTTTTATTCCTATTAAATTAGGGAATTAGATTTTTTATTTCTATAATTAAAATTACATGTTTCATTATATTGGATAAACGCTCATCAAATTCCATATTATTCACCAAAATAACATCATAACATTGGGAAATGATACAGTCCCGTAACAGTATCATTTCGTCGAGATTTGTAATCGTTAGATTATCGTGTAATCGTCGTGGATAGTTGATCTAACGATTACAAACTCCGACGAAATGATTTCATAACGGAACCGTAGCATCTTCCCGTAACATTAATCACAAAGAATTTTACACATAATTAATCACACGAAACAGATGACATCACAATTCCCTAAAAAAGTGAAAAGAAAAAAAGGTTAGGCTACATTATGGAAAGAGGGCAAAGGTGGTAATTAATGACAATTTTCCGAAATTGATGTACTTATCATGAAACTTTAGGGAGATGTTACGGTCCCGTTATGGAACTATTCCTTCGGGGTTCGTAACCGTTAGTTCAACTATCCCCGATGATTACATGATGATCTAACCATTACAAATCCCGATAAAATGGTTCCATAATGAGACCATAGTATTTCCCGAAACTTTATTTGGTGGAGGGGCTCTGGAGAAAAAATGTTAGTCATTGAAGTCCATAACAGCACTTTTTTTAACCTTTTCTGGAGAAAAAATGTTGTCATTGAGGCCCCTAACAGCAATTTTTTCAACCTTTTATTTCACATAACTCAACTGTAGCAGTAACCAAATTACCTCACGATGTTGTAATTATGTCCATATATATAAATAATAATGCCTTTTTCTATCTCTTTCTTAGTCTATTATAATAAATATTTTGTCTTTTATTGCCCTATTTAGACATGGCCAGTCTACAGGCTGGGCCGACGGGCCTCCCATGGGTGACTTAACCGGCCCGCCAAAAACCAAGGACCGGGTCTGCCGAACCAGCCCGGCCAGGTCCCAGACCGCCGGGACAAAAAAGAAAGGGACCCGAAAATAGCTCGTAAAGCCACGGTGCCGGTTCTCGGAACCAGCAACCTACTGGCCGAATTGCCTTTTTTTTCCCCTTTTCTGCTTTTTGAACAATTTGCTTTGGTTTGGGGGCCCACCTGCAGCTGCATGACAAGAAATTACATGTAATAATAATGCTCTCGCCTATTAAGGTTTTCTGTCCGCTGAAGTTGTGTTTTGATCTTGTCAAATTTGAATAATTTGATTGGACTCAAATGGACGACTATAGAACAATATTCGCAAGGACTCATTTCTAAAATACAAATTTTATTATGATTCTTCAAAGTAGTCATAACCCGAACAGTGTCAATTGCTTCGAAATAATCCAAGTTGATTTTATTTTTGGCTAAATTCAGTTATAAATGTAACCTTAAATTTAATAATTCTATATATTAATTTAATCATCATTTTAGTATATTTGATTCGACGTTCGTACACTTTTTTTTTTCGAAAAAACTCGAATCAAATCAGAAAAGATAAATGTACACGGGGAGCCCGAACAGACAGGTCACTGGGAGGACAAGCACAACACATGTTGCCTAAACCAAACCGAACCGCACTAAACTAGACACTACTAACCAAACAACAACCACAATACAGAACCTACCAACTAACACAAGCAAGAATGATAATAATATACCATTGGCACTAGACCTAGTTCATTCCTTCCCGCTCCATACTAGCACCTCGATCTTCTATCTTTGAAATCATAATGGAATGAAACACGAAACAAACTTTGAATTGTTTACTAAATTATTCGAACAAAACAAACTTTGAAGATCAACTAATTGAACGATCACAAGTAGTGTTTGAAAATAGATGAACATGAGCTCGAAATGTCCAAACTCGACTAGATTACATCATTATTTGTTGGCTACCCCTGGAAGCCCCAACTCTTGCTAATTCTTTTTTCCACACACCAACTAAGAATATGTTTTGATATATAGGATCTCCTATTTTCATGTTTCGTTTCGTGTTTCATTCCATTGGATGTATAAAACTTAAACCAATATTACGCATTTATGTTCATGCGTCATTTATCCAATTGAATGAAACACGAAATGGAACATGAAAACTCATTCCATACCCCGCCAATCATAATTATTGAACCCAACTTCTCCCAATCAATTTCCCAATCGAACTCAAGGATGGATAGTAATTTGTGAAGTTGAATGATTTAGAAGAATTGTATCAAAGGGAACATAAAAGAAGCTACATCTCTCTGCTCAAAGAAGGAACCAGAACATATATCCAAATTGAATTATGAGAAACTAATAAGTGAATCTCATTAGAAGGGCAGACGAACATATCTGCGACATTCGCATACACTTTCGCTTATTATCACTCACAAAGAAGAATAACATACTGTTCACATGAGCAATCCATAAAAACAAAAATGAAGAGGACACCATGCTTAAACAATAGAAGAAAACTTAAAACCAATCCAACTAGTTTCGAAACCAGGCCTACGATGACATTGAATTTATAGTGACAAACAAAACCATAATATAGCAATACATGTACCAACACACCCATAACAGACACCAAACAATTGAATTGAATGTGTCACAATACAGATAGTATTCCCATCAAACGACTCGGATATTGTAGTCTGACATTTGCAGAAACCTCAAACCAAACAACAACTTGCCAACCTAACTTATAACCACAAAACATCAGTAAATATGATCTAAGATATCAATTCAAAACATAACTAACTAAAGTTCCAAAATTTATCAATTCTTGGGAAAAAAAATTATGTCATTCACATTGACTGTGCCACACTGTCCATAACCACTGGAGTAAATACCAACATCTCTAGAATTCAAATTTAACGACACCAGTCAAATTCTTAAAAATAAATAAAAATAGTTATGCTCATAGGAGGGAAAAGGAGGGTTGAAGTATCGGGAACCAAAAGTGTAAGTAGATGCTAACAGGCATTACCACAAGTACTTGGTAACCATCAGTCGACACATGTTTAAACCAGCAGTGAGTTCTATTCATCATCCTCGCGTTTCTTGGGCTTGCGATAATTTTCTTCAATGTGTTTGGTGATCAAAAGGGCAGTGTTACAGAGCTTCCGAACGTTGGGCACATTGTAATTCTGGGCTACGTAAACTCCGAATGCCGTGCCCACCATGAATGAGAAGCTGCTCTTTATTAAGCTCATTTCTTGACCCTACTTTCTTTTCTCTCTGATCAAGATTCTGACAGGGTCTTTGAAATTTAATTATCCTGAAAGCATAAATAAAATCACTCAAATCCAAACTTGTCAATTCATTCATACAAATTACAAAATAAATTAAGAAAATATATCACCTATTTCACAATTTCAGCAAAGCAATTAACCATTAAAAAACAATCACGACCTCGAAGATGTTATATTTGATTCATAACAAACAAAAAGTCGAGCTTATCTAATCCTTCAGTTTCACAAGATATAGTTTTGCACACCATTATATAACAAAACAAATATTTCAAAAGCTGTGTCAGTCATTAGGGCAATTGGGGGTTAGACGATTAGGAAGTAGGAGCTTACCTCTTTGTAACTTATCCTGTGACGACGAGTTCGCCGCGCCGGATGCGGGTCGCCGTCGGCCGATCGGGGGCGGACCGTGGACTGAGCGCGACGGAGGCGTGGAGTAGTATATTTCTGTGTTTTTTTTTCCTCGTTCGTACTCAGCTACTTATGCAGGGCATTTATTCATTTGGGCCTCAACATTCATTAAAGATATTTTGGGCCTCATATAGGAGTGGCCCTGATTGTAACAGCTAATTTACATACATCCTACACTTTTTGTAAATAATTGCAATTTTATGTTTCGCAACAAAGAATTTGTATCAATACTCAACTCTTTCAAAATAATTATACTATTGCATAAAATTTGTTTCCAAATCAGAAAGTACCTTAAAAACCGTAACTGATTAAAAGCAATCTCTCTTCTCCCTCATTTATTTACTCTTAACAATTCTTCATTACACTATTTCCTATTCCACACACTATCTTTCCTATTCATCCATTTTTTTTTGTTTGGCTGTGTTTGGTAAATAGCGTTTTGGGTAGCTTTTGGCGGTTTCAATCATTTTAGCTGTTTGACCTTAGCAAAAAGCTATTTTATGATGTTTGGTAAAGTGGCTTTTTATGATGGCTTTTTTTATCAAAACGCTAAAATCTAAAACGCTGTAAATGGCAGCGTTTTGCAACAGCGTTTGAGAAAATAATTAACTTGTAGCAGCGAAAATTGAAAAAGAAAAAAAGAAAGAAACGAATGATGTCACAACACACATTATTAAAGCTAAAAATTGACAATCAATTTTGTTGTTTCTTGTGCCACGTAACA